AGAAGGAAAGCCGCCGGTGGCCTCAGGGGGAGTTGAACACTGGCAGCTAGAAGGTGAGCTGCGAATCCTGCCTGGCATTGGCAATCTGATGCAGAACATGGAGCCGCGCACTAAGGCCTGGACTAGACTAGGTGCGGGTTAGTGCTCATCATCGGCCAACAGAAGCATTCTCAAGACTGGATGTTGTTCTAACGCATACCTTGTGCAGGCAGAGGATGCCCCAATCTCTGCAGTGTCAGGCACCTGAGGGCAGGGAGGAGAAACCGTGGTTCTATGAATCAGTGATACCAGGCTGCGCTGCACTGCCCTCCTCCTTGAGTGATTTTTTGGGGGGTGGGGGGGGGGGGGGGGGGAAAGGGAAACAGATCCTGCTCTGGACATGAGCTGCCTTATGTCTGGGATTAAAGCAAAAAGCAGACCCATGGAGAGCACCCACAACAGGGCTCCACAAATGGGCACGACACACTTGACTAATCTCAGTGGGATTCAGCCAGGGCCCCAGACCATACACACAGCACGGCCGAAACCTGCACGCCACCATTTCCAAAGCGGCTTAGGGATTCCAGGTGCCCTACCTGAGACTCTGCAAGGCCCGATTCTTGGGGGCAGTAGATGGGGTGCTCAGTGTTTCCTGACAATCAGCTCCCAATCTTGGCCTCAGAATGCACACAAGGCTGCTGTGCTCTGTGAGTGACAGCAATTGTCTGGGGTCTCCAACGCCAGCCCTGGGGAAAGGCCAGATGCCCTAGAAGGAAGCCACCCTCTTCAGCTGCATTGCAGTTGCCAGACTGGAGCAGATGACCCTGGGGCACGCGGGCTTTGGAGTGGGAACAGAAACTAGAGCATTCGACGTAGCAAGAGGGCCAAGGCAGGGGCAGCACAGCGGCTGGTCCCTGACCTCACTCCCAGTTACACGGGCATAAGTACATTATGCATCTATTTCCCGGCCAGGTAAAGCCTTATCCAGTATCTCTGGAGCCAGTTCAGATGCACTTTGCCTCTTGGGGCATCACAGGGCTGGCATTGGGGCGTGGTGTCCCACGGGTCTATTCATACTGACCTACATCTCACAGGGGGAGGGGGACCTCCAGTGTGCATTAAACTATGGCACAATCACATTATCTTACAAAGAAGGTTAAGGGGTGACTTGATTGCAGTCTAAAAGTACCGACACTGGGAACAAATATTTAATAACGGGCTCTTCAATCTAGCAGAGAAAGGTCTAATGTGATCCAACGTCTGGAAGTTGAAGTCAGACAAATCCAGACTGGAAATTTTGACAGTGAGAGTAATTAACTACTGGAACAATTTACCAAGGTGCACGGTGGATTCTCCATCACTGACAATTTTTAAATCAAGACGGCCTGTTTTCCTAAAAGCTCTGCTCTAGGAATAGGTTTGGGGCAGGTCTCTGGCCTGGGTTACACAGGAGGTCAGACTAGATGATCACAATGGTCCCTTCTGGCCTTGGAATCTATCAGTCTATAAACCAGCTCCAGAGAGAGAGAGGCAGGCACTTGTGCACAGCTCACCAACAGCAGGGGAGGTCTGGAGTATCCACAGCCAGGGAATGCAGGTGTGTTCATCTCAGGAATAGGGGGTTATTTCCTGCTCTGGAAGACAGTGTGGCAAGCATTTCCCCTACAGATATCATGCACTGCACTGTGGGATTGCCTCGGAGGACTGACTAAGACAGTTTGGCAGCAAACCATGTAATTACTGTCCTGTCCACAGCACGACAGCTCAACCAGTTTCATCTAAATCGTGCTCGAAACTACCCCACCCAGAAGGGCTGGGGCAGGGCTCTTCAAGACAGGTGTAAAATGGCTTTGAGAAGTGTGGTCACAAACCACAGGAACCACTGACAGTCTGTGACCGAGTACGGTTTAACCGGACTGCCATTAATGAGAGCGGTTAGAGATGAGCCGGGGAGGGGCAGGCTGAGGTTAAAAATCATGCCATTTCAGTCACTCAGGCTTGTATGCATCCCAGTAGGAAGGAGTGGGGTGGTCACCTGAACCACATCCCATGAACAGCCCTTTCCAGAGGAAAGGCAGATGTACACGCCAGCTCCTGTTTGGCCCCAGGGGGACGCTGCACGACCTCCCTGCAAGGCCTGACCCCTGGCAGACAGAGAACAGTACAGGCTGATGAGAGGCTGACAGCTCCGCACTGGGACGCTCTCTTGTAAAAGGTGTAGCTCCTCTCCTTGCCCCTTCCCCAGGTGCCCCAGGCAGTTTGGGTGAGCAGAGTCAGAGGGAAAGTCACCATCACTGAGGGCATGTCTACATTACGCGCTGGATCGACGGGCAGCAATTGACCCCTGAGCGCTCTCCCATCGACTCCAGTATTCCACCAGGGCGAGAGGCGCAGGCAGAGTCAACAGGTGGGTGTCAGCCGTCGACTTACCGCAGCGAAGACACCGCGGTGAGTAGTTCTAAGTACATCGACTTCAGCTATGTTATTCACGTAGCTGAAGCTGCCTAACTAAGATCGCCCCCCCCCCCCTCCCCGCAGCGTAGACCAGGCCTAAGGGAGCCAACCTGCCTTTCCATTGGCTGAGCACGGCAGCGAACTGCCCACCAACCCCCGTGTCCTTCCACAGCTCAGCTCCCAGAACCAGACTGTGATACTGCACCCACCAGCCACCCTTGGTCGCCATCACCTTCAGCACCCAGCACTTCGGTGCGCCAGTCAGCACAGCAGCTCCTGGCGTTTACTACGACACACCCCAGCCCCCACATGCAGCTCGGCTTGGCCTCCCAGGGCTGGACCCGAACGGAAAGGGTGACAGCATGAGCGGGGCCTGGGAATACCAAGGGGTGCATCAAACCACAGCTTATTTAGCACCAGCACTGCACCTTTTAATTACAAGCCCGAGACGAAAATGCCAGTCCTCAGGGAAGCGACTATCAGAGACAGATAACCTGCTGCTGGCCGAGCGCCTGGAGTTACAGAGCAGGGCCAGCGTCCCCGCCAGCAGTGCAGCCAGCACTCCTCTCCTGGGAGCTCCACTGGCTCTGCTCTCCCCTGGTTGGAGTGCCACAAGACAGTGCGAGGCTCGCCCAGAGAGCCCCACGCAGGACCCTGTCCTGGGAGTTCTCATGGAGCTAAGGTACAGCAGAGACCGTGGACTAGAGCCATCAGGAGAACTGGGCCCCTTGGCTCAGGGACAGCCCTAGGCCAGGACTCACCATGCTACCGGACGGGAGGTACGGCCCCAGAGCCGGTAGAGCACTACGGACTTGTCACTCTCTACACAGCCGAAGCAGCCTGAGTCACTCACACGCCCTGGGCTAAAGAGAAGTGGGCATGGCTGGATCCCTGTAAGGGGAGCCCACGGTGCTACAGCAGGGATCTGGGAGTGGAGCAGGGATAAAGGGGCCATAGCAGCTGTCACTTAACCCATCTCGTTCTAAACTTGCTTATGGGTCAGAGCCATGTCCAGGGATCAAAGCAATAATCCAGCTAAGCGCTTCCCTCCCCTCCAGCCAGATCCTGCCTCAGGGATGTGGTGGGGGTGGGAGGAGAGGAGTCCCACAGAAAGCATGCTACACCCCGACCACAGCCCTGGGGGGTGCAGCAGCAGTGAGCGCCCCGGCACAGATCTCCAGTCCTCCCCCTCAGGCTATGAACCCACACCCCCAGCAGAAACTTTGCACTGCATGACAAGGTGAGCTCTGGGGGTTTTACATCTTCCACGGCATCCACTGCCTGAGCGGGGCTCACTGCACCACAGGGCCGGCTTGCTACATGCAGTGAGCTGGGATGTGTGCCAAGTTCTGAGAGTCACCTGCTTGCCCTCCCTGCCCCAAGTGCCTCCTATGGGAAAACGCAGGGCACCCCTCACCACGCAGAGAGGACAGATCTCGGATGTCAGGATTCCAGGTCAGTGCTCACTCCAGCCCCTGGCAGCCTCACTTGAATTCTCCTCCCACTTCCTATTGGTCCTTTTAGTCCCAAATGGCCCACTCCCTGGAGAGTCAGAGACAACGCTGCCCTGTGCCTGGATCTGCCACAGGCTCTGTGCAGAGAGCCTAGCACCGGGAAGCGGGTGCATCTCAAAAAGGGGGAACTAGAGATTCAATGCAATGCAAGGACTACCTCGGTGCAACGTTAGGGCTTGGTATTATAGGCAGCAAAGTCACAGCTTCCTCAGTAACATGCACTTGGCCTCATGCCTCCCGGGCAGTCTGTATCAAGGGCTATAATGAGGCGAAGGTTGGACAGCACACTCTGCACAGGTACATGGACCTAGCCAGGGCTGCTGTGGAAGCCAGAGTGCTGGGTTGAATTGTTAAGCTACAAGGTTGCACTTCGGTTCTATTTCCCCTCAGCAGGCACAGCCTGGGGGCCAGAGACATTTCTAGGAAGATAGGTTCACTTGAGCAGCCAAGCTCCCTCCTCCCTGGGTTAAGGAGGGTGATGCAGCTCACAGCCTGCAGGGCCCTCAGTGGGCTTCAACAGAACTGCATTCGTCAGCCAGCTTCTGCTCAGGCCTGGCCAGAAGGGAGCCCCTTGCCGAGGGCATGTGTGCGCCACGGCAGGGGACTGCTTCTCTGGACTGTAAAAAGCCACCTTGCCCTCTGGTGAAGAGAAATCTCTCCCGGGGTGCTGCAAGCCAAGGGCAGAGATTCTCCACAGAGACTGGCCTGGTAAACGCTCAGAGGTGGGGCCTAAGCTGCAGTGGCCTCTGCCCAGCAGGAGCTAGTCACTGCAGAGGTCCCCGGCAGTAGGTGACTCCAAAGGGCGGACAGAGCACCCGACATTTCACTGCAGCAGGGGTGGGGCACTGCACCAGGCAGAACGGCCTCACACTGCAGTTTACCAAGGGAGGGCTTGGGGTGAAATCTGGGACCAATGAAGTCAGTGGAAGTTTTGCCTTTACTTCAGTTGGGCCAGGATTTCACCCAAACCTCAGCAGCCCCGGGGGTGGGGGTGAGGGTTCCCTGCAGCCCCCTCCTCGTGAGCCTGGGAAAGGGGGAGGAAGTGTACCTTACCGGACATAGAGAGATCTCTTCTCGCTTGTCCGGAGAGAGCCCGACCCAGAGCTCATGCTGCTGTTCATCATCTGTTCTCTTAAGTCGTGGATTTTGGATTCGAAGCGGCTGTACTCTGAGGAGAGAACGGGATGGTTAGTGAAGGGAGGGAGCTGGCCTGTCACACCTCCACCAAACCACCCCAGTCCCACGGAGCAGGGAGAGCCAGAAAGCATGTTCCTAGGTTAAATAAGCTTCATAGAAAGGAGGCAGCTGCAGCCTAGTTGGAGGGGACACAGCTTCTCTCTGACCCAGACACAGGACAGAGGAGGATGAAACTGCAGCATCAAAGCAGATCCATCTCTCTGCTCGGAGGTGTGAACACAAGGTGCAGGCACGAGACGCACAGAGCAGGCACTGCCTTCTTGGCCCCAGATCTAGTCTATCTGCAAAACAACTAGTTCTCTGTGGGGGGAGGGAACCCCACCGCTTGCCATCCTCGAGCACAGAGCATGGCTCTTGAGCGAGGGAAGAGAAGCCACCCCTGCTGTGCAGCACCTCTGCAGACCCAAGAGCTGAGCAGTGGATCATCTGCTGCTGCCCTGCGCAGAGAGCTGCCAGCAGGTGCGTGGGCCCCCAAACCTGATCACCTTTCCAGTGCGGTGCCTGACCCACCTGAAGAGAGGGGCGTGCTGCACGAAGCACTTCCCAGTGCCGGGCACTGTGCTGCGGAGAATGACCCTGGTGGAACCTGGCATCCTAGTGCTGGGCCAGCCAGCTAGTGGCAGCAGCAGCTGCACCCTCTGGGGATGGGGCAACAGCCCAGTGTGAGGGTCTCCCATGGCTGCTCCCAAGCCAGCTACTCCCCAGTAGCAGCACAGACTCGTTACCAAAGCATTTCAGAGGAAGGAATGACCAACGTTAGTCACGTAACTCACCCCGGAACGTGCTTGGATACTACGGAAAGAGAACAGCCAAGCTAAGAGAAAGTCCTGCGCAACTCTGCGGACACTAGCAGCCCTGGGCTCACAGCTCGCACCGGAGCTGGGCTCACTCTCCAGTTCCAAAGGCCTCTCTAGTTTGGGGACCCCCTTGGGAGCAGCCCCCCAGCCTGTCCCTCCCCAAGAGGGGTGTCACTGTGCATACAGGCAGCTGGGATGGGGTGACTTGGGAAGAATCAAAGCCAAGCCTCAGATCTGAGAAAGCAGGAGGATGAACATGACAAATTCACTGCATATCCCCCCAAGAACCCTAGAAGCAGCGGAACAGTAACTCACTGGCTGGGGAGAGCTCCAGAGAAGCTGGCAAAACCCTGCAGTGAGCTGCTTGCAACCTCCTTCCTAACACCTGACACGCCTCCCAGCTCCCTCATCAGACGCCAGGCTGACCTTCAGCTGGGTGTAAAGGTCGGGGAAGGAAGGCAGAGGGTGGAGACAAGGGTTCTGCCCACCAGAAGCAGCTTAGAGAAAGTTTGCTCCTGTGCTGCCACTCACTCTGCTAGGGGATTTCTGAGCATTTGCACAGTGAAGAATGGGACTGAGACCACCTGTCCCAGACTCCAGGGCAGAAGGGCCACAGCACTCTCCTCTCACTAGCACCATCCCTCAAATTCTCATTTTGGGGGAGGAGGAAGCTCCCCCAGGGGCAGTAAAGAAAGGAAGTCACTGATCCAGCCATAGCACAGCAAACACACAAAGTCACTTCCTGCTGGGGATACCCAATAGCTAAAGTTAAGATTCTGTCAGTTATTTTTAGTAAAAGTCATGGACAGGTTGTGTCTCGGAAGCCTGCAATCTGTCCATGGGGGAGAGAGGGGGAGGGGGACTGACAGTCTGAGCCCCAGCCGCACGGGGGGTTCACAGCTCCTCCAGCCCTGCAGCTGCGGGCAGCAGGGGCTGAAGCAGTCACATAGGTCATGAAATCCGTGATGAAATCGAATCCTTTTACCAACAGCCCACAAATCCCACGAGAAAGAGACACCCCTCCACCCTGCTCTGGCATAGCAGGCACTCCCGGGGAAGCATCTGCCCAGGCCATCTGTCACGCTCAGAAAAGCTGTGTCCTTACCATCACATATACAGGCCATTTCTACCTCTTTCCAGTATGGAGGCACCATTCACATATGTTGAAAACAAAATACAGCCACAGATTCCACCAAGAGATAGAGCCAGAGCCCAGGAGCAGAAAGCTGCCTTGGCAAAATCAAGTCTCATTCAGTGCCAAGCTGCCTTGGCTGGGTGGGGAGCACAGCACACAGAGCGTGCTCAGGTCATGTGGGGGTGGGGGAACCATTCTTTGGCTGATTCACAGAGCAGAGCTGCCTCCCAGCCTTCCTCAGTTGGGAGGATCAGTGCAAGACAAGATCCTGAGCAGGGTGAGGAGGAGAGAGAAATGGAATCAGGGAACCTAAGGGTTGTATGTGGGGAGCAGGGGAGACAACCATACTCCCCAACCCGAGTGCTGCTCTGTGGCTTGAGTTCTTCCTGCTTTGCAGCCCAGGGCTCCCACAGAATCCACGCCTTGGTAACATGCCTATTGCAGCTACTTAGCAAGTGATGTCCTTTTGTTTTCTTCCTAAAAAGGTGGGGCAGCTGCTGCTAGAGCTGAAGACATCCTTAGAAATGCACTAGGATCTGGAGCACCAAGCAGAGCTACTGCTCTAATAGCTTTAGGGGGACGCCACTGTTACTTGCAATGCAGTTTAGACTCAGCATTTATCTCCCAGACACTCTCCCTCCTTTTAATGCTCATGTTGCTATAGTGTTCTACCTTTTGCTGCACCAGTTTCCTCCTCACAAAGTACTAATCCAGCCAAAAAACTACAGCCGTATAATGGAAGGGTTGAATGGTTAAACAGGCAAGAGTCAGGAAACGCCAAAGGAACAGAAGCAACTTGAATCTAGTTTTTTTTGTTTTGTTTTAAACAAAGACTGAAGAGTCATTTCAGGTCCTGTGCAAGACCCCAGTCAACGTGAGCTTTTCCAGACACATTTCCCTTCTCTAGGATGTTCTCCTCTCCCCTCTTGCTGTGAGATCTCCACACAGACAACAGGGGAAGCAGAGACACTGATCAGACACATCATGCTGTCACACACAGCCACAGGACAAAGAAATATTGGTCCTCTTCTTTCAGTTTCAGTGCCCCCTGATGTTACGTTAACGTGCTTTCATTAAAAGTATTGAGGGAAAATTCAAGTCACCATATGGTGTGTAAGCTGATGGTGTGCCTTTAATTTTGTCCCCTGTGCAGGTGCATTGATAGTTTACATCAGGGGTCGGCAACCTTTCAGAAGTGGTGTGCCGAGTCTTCATTTATTCACTCCAATTTAAGGTTTCGCGTGCCAGTAATAGATTTTAACGTTTTTAGAAGGTCTCTTTCTATAAGTCTATAATATATAACTAAACTATTGTTGTATGTAAAGTAAATAAAGGTTTTTAAAATGTTTAAGAAGCTTCATTTAAAATTAAATTAAAATGCAGAGCCCCCCGCACGGGTGGCCAGGACCTGGGCAGTGAGAGTGCCACTGAAAATCTGCTCGCGTGCTGCCTTTGGCACACATGCCATAGGTTGCCTACCCCTGGTTTACATGGTCACACACTTTCTCAAATACATCAGTATAACAGAGTTTTTACTAACCTTAGATACATACCTAGGTAAGAGCATAAGAGACTTTGTACCCTTGTAATTTCATGCGATTTCTGTCAGAATGGTTCAACCTTATCTGTACTGGCAGACTTTTTAGACAAGCTCTCTTCACTATAAGGTAGCTACAGTAATTACGTAATACTTATTTTCTTGTTAAACCAGCAGCACAGCCATCCTTGCATGCAATTCAGGGGCTGAGAAAGGTTGTTAGTTGCAGAGCTAAGTTCACAGCTGACACTCATGGAATTTCACTGAGCTGCGTATGGGCGGACTGTGTCAGCACCGCCCCACTGAAGTCAATGGGGCTCTGCACAGGACCAGGGCCTACCTACAACACAACTTTGACCATGAGTATGTTGTAACTTCTGTCATATGCTGTACATAAACAGCATTCTCTGCACTACTTCTTCAAAAAGCTTTCATGGATTGGTTGACTAGCATACACAACTACAAGATACTGCACATGTATAGCAAAGCTGTACAAAAAGATGCGTATTACGTGGCATTTGAATAACAGTATGTGACAATATAATTAAAGACTACCATATCAATACAAATGCACAAAGGGGGCGGGGTTAGGGTTATGCAACCTGAACTCTTGGCATTTCCTGACTTTCCAACACTTAACTGTGCAGCCGTAGCATTCTTGGAACAACCTTTTTATACTGAACTGCCAGAGTGAGGCTAAAAAACAAAGGGTCTGAGCTGGAGATGCACAGAACAGGCCTCTGAAGCTCTGCTGGGTTGCACGACACCCCAAAGCTACACTACACATGTCCACTGATGTTCAAAAGGTCATAAGGACTTTTATAAAGTCAAGAAAGTCCTCCATCCCACTCCCCAGGAACTAAACTTGTTTTGCCCAAACAAGGGAAAATGGGCTTCCATGGGATGGTTAGGGGGAGCCTGGGCTAGTTCTCTCTCTCTCTTCCCCTAGCTGGGAGATGCAGGAGCTCCTTCCCCATGTGGTGCCCCCAGAAAGGGAACTTAGGCTGCTGGGTCTGGCTTGCCCCCTCCTCGCCCCACACTTGCTACAGGTGGGCTGAAAGCTCCGAAGTATTGCCAGCACAGCATGCGTTGCTGCTCCAGTAGCAGCTGGAGCCCGGCCTTACCGTGTTCCTGTTCAGTTATTCTGACAGGCTGCCACAGTTTTCCTAAGGAACACAAAAGTAAAAAGGAAACTGGCAATTTTTTAAGTCTACCTCAGCAAAAGCTGAACGGAATGTCATGAGACAAAGAAAAGACACTTCTCTGGAGAAGGGGATGCCCTGTGGCTGGAGAAGCGTTACTCACTAGGTTTCATTACAAGTGTATTAAATCAAAAGCTAGAGCCTGGAAAGGCAGATCTCCACTGCCCTGTACCACATGCTGACAAGAGGCCAGGACAGTCATTTGCCGCGAGAACACTCAAACAAACTCCATCATCTGCTTTTTAATCAGGAAGTTGATTTTTTGCAAATTTCACTTAAAGTCAAAGAGCCACATACAGG